CAATTAAATCTAAATAGTATGAATGTAAAAATCACAAGACTCGTTATGATCAAATTATGAAAAGTCAAAGAAACTTTTTTTTTGAAAAGTTTTTTTTTTTTTTTTTTTTAATGAAAAGTCAAAGAAACGGGAGACTAGGGGAAAGAAAGGAAGGAAGAACTCGTTATGATCAAATTATGAAAAGTCAAAGAAAGCAGAAAACAAAAGTGATTTCTTACAAACCCATGAGACTGTCAGTGGATCTCTTAGCAAAACCAGTGCAGGACCAGAAGGAATCCTAGTGATATATTTTGACTGCTTAAAGAAAAAAACTGCCACAAGAATATTGTATCTGGCAAAAGGCATCCTTCAAAAAATGAAATCCCGATTTTTCCCAGATAAACAAAACCTGAAGGAATATATTATCAGGAGAACTGCCTTGCAACAAGTGAGTTTTTTTTCTAGTTGAAACAAAAGGATGTTAAACAGAAACACAAAAGTATCAAGCTCACCAGTAAAGGTACATACACAGAAAAAGCACATAACACTTTAATACCATGCTAGTGTTATACAAATCACTCTCAATTTTGGTATAGAAATCAGAAAAATGAAAACATAAAATACTTATAAAACTACATGACTGGAACTCAATATAAAATGATGTCATCTGTGACAACTGAGTAACAAAAGTATGGTATGTATGTGTGTGTGTAGTGGAATAAAAGTGTAGTTTTAGTACACAACTGAAATTACCCTGGTATTCTCTTAAAATACATGAAAACTATCATCTATTTTATGTAAGCCCATAGTAACCACAAAGGAAATATCTATGGAAAGTAAAAGAAAATGAGAAGACTCAAAAAGCAACATTACAAAAGGAAAAAAAAATCAGTGAAACAGAGGAATACTCAAATTGTGTAGTAAAACCCAAGACAAAAAGGAAACAAGAAACAAAATGTCAGGAGTATGAACTCTCCATGAATAATTACTGGTGCCACAGAATCCAAAGGATAGGAGAAAACTGCTATGAACAATTATACACTCACAAATTGGGTAATGTTAAGAAATGGTTAAATTACTGGAAACAACACAACCTACCAAGATTAAAGAAATACAAAACCTGAACAGATCTATAACTGGTAAGGAGGCTGAATCAGTAATGAAAATCTCCCAAGGAAGTCAAGCCTAGGACCAGATGGCTTCACCACTGAATTCTACCAAACAGCTAAAGAGTTCACGCCAGCCCTTCTGAAACACTTCCAGAAACTGAAGAGAAGGAACACTTCCAAACTGATTTTGAGGCCAGAATGACCTTGATACCAAAAACGGGAGGCGGGGGGAAAAGAAAGGAAGGAAGAAAATTACTGACCAATATTCTTGATGAACATAGATGCAAAAATCCTAACCAAAATAAGCAAATTGAATTCAACTTTATATTAAAAGGATCATACATAAAATCCAAAGAGGGATTTATTCTTAGAATGGAAGGATAGTCCAACATACAAAAATGAATCAAAGTGATACATCACATTAATAGAAAAAAAGATTAAAAATCATATGAATATCTTAATAAATGCAGGGAAAGCCCTTGAAAAATTCAATATCCTTTCATAATTAATACATGCAACAAAGTAGGAGTAGTTTGACATGATCTTAGCCACAATCATGTATATATATGCCTAAAGATTACACAAAAAAGCTATTAGAATAAATCAGCAAAGTTTTGTGATACAAAATCAATGTATAACAACCAGCTGCATTTCTAACAATAAACAAGTCTGAAAAGGAAATTAAAATAATCTGATTTATAATACTGCCAGAAAGTATGAAATTTATTTAGAAATAAACTTGACCAAGGAGACAAAATAGTTCCACACTGGTAACTTCAAAACATTGCTGAATAAAAGAAGAAAAAGATAAATGGAAAGATGTGCCATATTTGAGGATTAGAAGACTTAAATATTATTAAAATTCCACACTATTCAAAGCAATCTACAGATTCCATGCAATTTATATCTATAGTCCAATATCATTTTCTAATAGAAATAGAAGAAACAATCCCAAATTCTACATAGCATCAAAAAGGACCTCGAATAGTCAAAACAATTTAGAGAAAGAGTAATACTAGAAGACTGATTTCATTACTGATTTCAAAACATTATAAAATTACAACATCAAAACAGTACGGTGTTGTCATACGGATGGGCCACTGGAGGAGACAGGCGAGGAAAATCCCACATGTAAATGGTCAAATGACCTTTAATATGGGGCCAACACTACAAAATGGGGAAAACATCTTTAAAAAATGATGTTGGGAAGCCCGTTTATCCACATGCAAAATAATGAAAGCAGAGCCCTCTCTATCTTATACAAACACAAAAATTAACTAAAATGGTTAAAGATGTAAATACTTAAGACATGAAACCATAAATTTTCTATAAGAAAACAGAGGAAAACTTGGTAATGATTTAAATGATTAAACTTGGTCATGATTTCTGGATTACCAAAAACATAGGCAAATATAAAACAAAAGCAAACACAGGTAAGTGGGGCTATATTAAATGAAAACTCTTCAACATGGTAAAGGAAAAAAAATAACCTTCTGAAATGGTAACCTGAAAAATAGAAGAAAATATTTGTAATACATTTAAATAAGTGGTCAATATTCAAATTCAAAATATAGAAGGAACACCTACAATTTAATTGCAAAGGAAGAACAACAAAAAGCAAAAACATATACACGAAAAAAGACAGCTTGAAAAAGGAAAGGACTTAGACATACCTCTAAAGACATACCAACAACCAATAGGTATTGAAAAGATATTACTAATTATTAGGAAGATGCAAATGTGATAGTATGATTTATATTATTTGGTCATTATACTTGATTTCTGGCAAAAGCTCCTAAAACTCTTGGAATCTCTAGCTTGATAATTATGTGTTAATGTGATGACTGATGGCTGGTGACCCCTAGAGACCACTAGAATACAGACTGGTGGCTCAGAAATCAAATCAGGACTTATAGCCTCACCCCATAACCTCACTAGAGAAGGCTGACTGGGAGGGTCTAAAAGTTGAATTGATCTCCAAGGACCAGTGATTCAATCAACTGTGCTTAGAAAATGAATATTCCATAAAAACCAACAAGAGCTGGGTTCAGAAGAGCTTCTGGACAGCTGGGCAGGTGGAAATTCCTACGATGTGATGCACCTGAGAACCTCCACATCATCCCATATCCTGTCCTGTGCATCTCTCCTATTTGGCTATTCATCTGTATCCTTTGTAATATCCTTTATAGTAAGTGGGTAAATGTAAGTAAAGTGGTGTCCTGAGTGTTGTGGGCAACTCTGACCAACTACCTTGAGGTGGACATGGGAACTCCTGATTTATAGCTGTTGGTTGGAAGTGTAGGTGACAATCTACTATTTGCAAATGGTATTTCAATGAGGGGGCACTCCTTGGGGGCTGATCCCCAATCTGTGGGATCTGAAGCTATTTCAATGTCAACAGCGTCAGAGTTGAGTTGAATTAGCTGGTATCTGCTGGAGAATCTGGGCTCACAGAAGGATTCTGTATTGAGTGTTGAGAATACAGAGTGGGAAAAATACTTTTTTGAGTTTTTTTTTCATTTCTAGTAACAAATCCAAACTATAACTAGATATCGCCTTATTCTTGTTAGGATGGCTCTTACAACAAAACATAACAAGTGTTGGTGAGGATGTGGGGAAAATGGAACCTGTGTGTTCTGGATGTAGCTGGTACAGGGACTTTGTAAAATAGTATGAGAAAAGGAACACACCATTCAACAATTTGGATATTTACCCAAAATAGATAAATTTAGTATTTTGAAGAGATATTTGTACTCCATGTTCATTCAGCATTATTCATAAGAACCAAAAAGGTGGGAATAACTCAAATGTACACTGATGAATGAATGCATCAGAAAAATGTGGCATATACACATCGAGTAATATTATGCATTAAAAAGGAAAAAGATTCCGACACCTGCTACAACATGGATGAGCCTTGAAGACATTGTGCTGAATGAGATAAGCCAGTCAAGAAGGCCAAGAAGGCTAAAACAGCCAAACTTGAAGAAACAAAGTAGAATGGTGGTTGCCAAGGATTGAAGGGGAAGGAAACTGGGTATAAACCTAAGATGAGAAAGTTTTCTAGGTATGCTGTACAGCATTGGGCTCATGGTTAACAATACTGTGTTGCACATTTAAAAACTTAAGAGACTAGTTCTCATATTATGTGGTTTTTTTTTTTTTTTTTCACCATAATAAAAATGTCTTTTCCTATTGGCACCACTGAAGGGAATGTTGCAACTGTCTTGCTTCCTGTTATTCCTAATCCAGTGCCTGTCCCTTCAGTGGATGCTAGAATCCTTCTGGAGTTTGGGAAGTTGTGCTCCTTCCAGCCAACACACAACTTTCCCATCTTCACCCACACAGATCCAGGGACATGGAAGCTCCAAGGACAACCCTAAAGGGGCCAGGACATATCAACTGAATCCCGGAGATCCAGACTTTGGGACTAGAAGAAAGAATCCTCACAGGAAACGTACCCAGGCAATTTGGAATCTATCTGCACTGTTAAAGTACAACTATTTCAGGAATCCAGTGGAAATGTGTAAGTTCAGCTTTTAGTAGGGTCAAAATCAAGATAATGAAAGAACAATATACAAATGAAGGCTGTAACTAATCTAGAGTATAAATATCTATGCAGACAGGTGCTGCCGCAAGTCTGTTCCTGAACAGATCACTTGAGATCTAACTTAGGAACCTATGTTCCGATCTTACTGAAGTAAAACAAATCCCATCCACTCCTCTCTCATTGTTCATGTGTATCTGAAGATGATTTACACATAACTCGCCCAGAATTTAAGCATCTGTTAAATAGTCTTATGGGTGATTGATGTGGCTTTTTTGGTACAAAGTGAGAATTTTGGGGTACCTTGTTTAAATATCATTTTATAAAGTTTTGTAGATTTTATTTTATATCCATTGTACTTTTACCTTTTGTAAGTAAAGAACTGTTCCCTTCAGGACAGCATAAAAGGTTTTCCATCCTCGCTTTCCTCTTGGAGCTAGAAAAAGAAAAAAAAAATATTAGAAAGAAATCAACACTTCAGAAGAATATAAAACATCAACCTGGTGCTTACGTTTCCATGTTCCCAGTTAATGAGCTATCAAAACAATGTTGAGAACTAAAATTTTCTTGAACTTTAGTGTATATCAGGCAGTATTCTAAAATGTTTCCCAAGTGTTGTCTTATTTAATCCTCAAAATATTTAATTAATCCTGCAAGTAGGTTCTAGGAATCTCTTTTTTTAAAAAAAGCCAAAGCACACAGAAGTAAATTGCTTACGGTCACATAACTGGGAATAGGAGAAACTAAAAATAGGAACCCAGGGAGCATGTCTCAACCCTCTGCCCTCCAGTGTAGGTGACTCAGACTGAGAAAGCAAAAAAGACAGATTGACAATTGGTATCAATCCAAGAGAAAGGCATGGTTATGAGAGGGCAACTCTCCCCCATATTTCTTCCATACTCCCTCAATCAGATTAGAGTTTTGTTATCACTCCTATGGCAACTTGGGCAGATTGCTGCTGCAAAGCACTTTTCTGGTCTAAGTGTCTTTCATTGGACTGGGAATAACTTGAAAGGCTTCCTTCATTTTTTTCCCCATTTTTAAAAATATTTTTTAGTTGTTGATATCTTTTTTTTTTTTTCAATTTATTTGTATGTGGTGCTGAGAACCAAACCCCAGTGCCTCACACATACCAGGCAAGAGTGCTACCACTGAGCCACAGCCCCAGTCCCTTCTAATTTTTTTTATTGGTGCATTATAATATTGCACATAAGGTTGGGGTCTATTGTTACATATTCACACATACACACAGTATAATAATATAATTCGGCCAATATCACTCCCCAGTATTTCCCCTTATATTCTTCACCTTTAGAATTTATAGAATCTAGCATAGTGCAAGGCAGACTTTAGGCACTATCATAAAGAATCTCCAGATTAGTTAATTTTTACAGAAGTCTTTATATTCCTTTTGTTTATTTTTCTGGTGTACAATGTAGAACTATCCTATTCACTTAAACTCATACAAATTATCCTAGAGACAGCATAGATTAGCAAAACAGCTTATTACATATTCTTAACTGTTTAATAAAACTAAAATCGGCACTGGAAAACATTACCACCTGAATGTCATTTTTCTAAGCATTAGCCAACTACATAGGCAAGACCATTTATTTATTAATATTCCTTTGTCAAACATTTGGCTGGCTTCAGGGCACCTTTAACTTGGACAAGGTAGGAAGTGTATCACTCTCTGAAAGCATACTCTTTAAATTTCTTTTGACTTAGGCTTGGAAAGGAGGTGAATATTCCTCTACAGGACCCAAGTGATCCTGCCAGCGCCACACTGAGACATCCACCTGGCAAGAAAGGCCGCAAAACATCCGCTCCACAGGGTTTCAGGGGAAATATAAAATACCATCCCTTCTGTTTCCACTAAGTGGCTTAAAAAAAAAAGTGTATGCGTGGAGAGGGGCACACCATGATATCCTTTGAAATAAATAAATAAATAAATAAAGACTAAAAGAGAGGCAGAGCTCAAACTTATAATAAATACTCACTGCATTGTTCAACAGAGGACAAATTCGGGCAACACCTGCATGAGAACCGTGCACACAAAAGTGACCATGTGCCATGGGGGCTGTCACTCCGCAGGACAGGAGACAGCATGATAAGCTGGAGGTGGCAGCCTGGAAAACAGACCAGCTAGCTGGTTTCCATCCCCTTCTAGGCCTCACCTTGTCCTAAACCCATCCTCTCGCCCTCCAAGCCCTGGCTGGGAGAGTCCTGACCAGTCACTCAGTTCTCAGGACTTCAGCTGATTCATTTTCATAAATTGGGTAATTTGTATAACTTTAGGCAAAGCACTGGAGAAATACTGGAGAGAAACCATTTTGTTCTCTATAGGAGCAAAGAGGTCCTGCCATTTAAAAGCTCTCCTTGAAGCCCTGACGTCAGTTTAGTGGGATCTCGAGACTCCTGCAGTTCCAAGATCTACAAATCTTTTTTGCTTCCTGTGAAGTAAAAAATAAAATAAATACTGGTGTAAGTTATTTTCATTGCAAACAAAGCCTTTTAGAAGCAGATTCCAAAGAGCTCTCCAATCGAACTGTGATCTTAAACATTACCCCCGAATGACTAGCGTCCACTGAGTCACCTTCTACCTCATCCTCTACTCTCCCATCTCCCACAGAAGTATAAGATTTAATCTTGTCCACGGTCAATTACAATTTAATCATTTAGGACTTCAATGAAGCCACCTAAAGCCCTCCCAACAAGATAACTTATTAGTAAATTCTCATCAATGCACAACTAGAGTGCTATAGAGGCAGTTCCCTAAGAGCTTTGACTTATGTTCATCCATTTAACTCCTACCATACTACTAAGGGTGGCCTACTATTATTACTTCTGGTTTACACCAGTGGAACTCAGGGAAAGGGGACAACTGAGCTCCAGAGCAGGCTGGGAGGGCTCTCCAGTGGCAGGCCCAGCTGCTCGGACTTCACCCCACACCCTCAGGGCTGCTACTGCTGCTGTACAGGATGAAGCCCACCATGTGGAACAGGGGCTGGACGCACATGAAGGAAGAGCACCTTTCCTCAGAACCATGACTGAGGAATGTGTAGCCACTGACTTCACAGCACTTGTGTTTATTAAGCACGTAAGACTGGGCTAAGGAATTGTAATCACATAATGAACAAGAAGGAAGGAAGGAAAAGATCATGGTGTGGTCACCAGCTTATCTGAGAGGCTTTGACTGCAGAGGTGGTGGGAGCTGGTAGACACATTTTGATGAACAGCCAGGTAGCAATTATGAGAGAGCGCATACAGAACTTAAAGACACCACTTAATATCTACATCACACTTTCAAAGCAATTAGTATGTCTACTTTAAATCCAAAAATAATCAATTGTTCTCCTTTCCCAAACTAAAAGGGCTTTGGAATGTTTTAATTCTGGTCATCTGCCTCCAACCTTATATAACACCATAATTTAGCTTTTTAAAAAACTGCTACTGAAATAGACATTATTTTTTATTAACAGTTACTGCTTAGATTTACCCTGTTTTATCTTTCTTCATCACTTCTTTCCAAGCCTCCAACTACTATTGTTCAGAGACCATTTTTCAATTATCTCTTGAAGTAGATCTGAGAAGTCCCTTTAGTAAGGATCTTCTGGTGGTAAATTTTTTTCTACTTTTGTTTATTATATATTTTAAAAATTCTAGGTTGACAATTACATTTTTTATGCAGATATTATTTGACTACCTCTTCTGTATTATAGGGAGGTCTACCCTAAGTCTAAAGGTGTGTCTAAGTAAGGGTGCTGGGCTTCCTGTGTATCATTTTGGAAAACCTGTAGCCATCGTGTCCCTTCCTCCGCTGTCTCCAGAACTGTCCCCATGCTCCACCCTGACTCCTCACTGCCTTCCCTGTGTGTCTTCTCTGCTCCCTCGTGTACTTACTCTCTGTCCTTTGGTGCTGACAGCTGTGTGGTTTTACTTCCAGCCCTGGTTGGCCACCCGATCCTGAAACACCTTGGAGATTAGAGCCCTAGGAGTAGCTTCCCTCCCTGGATATGCACTCAGGTTTTATTTATATCTGGCCTCCCCAGATTTCTCTTTGACTGTTACAAGTTCGTCCATTGATTTAAAAGGTATTTAATTTTTTCCCCTATCACCTTTAAATATTTTATAATAGAAAGTTCAGAATCCATCCATAGTCTATTATAATGTGATAAATCGACTTTTAAAAAGTATTCATTCATGAACTTTGTAATCTAGGAAGCATTTGGAACAAGATACAGGATATATTGGGGGGTAAGGCGAGGGCAAGGGAAACCAGTAAGAGAGCTATGGTGATGGCCTAGATGAGAGAAAAGGCCAGAATTGTGTGCACAATAAAGAAATGAAAGGAGAGATGTGAGGTGGTGACGCTGAGGACCAACGATACAGTAGGGTGGCCATCAGGCTAGCATTATACACAACTCTTCTATTTGATCCAAACAATCCTTTGAGGTAGGCATTGCCTTTTTCTTATCGACATCACCATAACTAGTTACATCTGCCATTCTGAAAGGTAAGCAAGCTGCTGTAGAGGTCACCCATCTGAGGATTTCAAAGTTATCATACAGGGCAATTCAGGCGAGGAGAGATGTTCTAGGGAAACGATCTGGGTGACACTCCTTCACAAGGGTCAGACCTGTAGCCTCTGTGAGATGGGTGCTGAGGGGAGGAAAGCAGATGAGGAGACAGAAGCAGACCAGAAATCAGGTACTCTCTCCAGTTGCTCTTAATTCTAGGGTATTCACAAGCATCCCTGCTCAGGGATAGAAATCTCAGATTAGAGGCACAATCTCTAGGTCTGCCCACTCAGGTGCTACCAGCTCAGCATTGCTGCAGGAAAATACACTATGCAATGATAATTACAGTAGTAGTGATAGCAGCAGCTCATGTTTACTGAATGCATACCGTTTTAGGCAATGTTCCAAGAGCTGACAAGTAAAAACTAATGCCTGCAACTCTGTGAGGGAGCCACAATAACAACCTCCAGTGCACAGGTGTGGAATCTGTGACCCCCACCTGCCACGTAGCACCTGCCTGCCTACAGCACTGAGCATTTTCACGGTGGTTTGAAGATAGGGAAAGGCCAGTTAAAACAGACTCGGGATATAGTATCTTGGATAACTAAGACACAGAGGTGATCAAATTATTTATGGACCAATTCATCAGAGACCCTGATCTGTCAGGAAAAATACATCATCGGAAAAAGACTGAATAGAAATATGTGGTAAACAGTCTGTATGACTGTCCCTGTACATATTCCTGGCTTGGGGATGGCTTCCTGTATACTGTGGAAAGTAAAAAATGAGAAAAGTCAACAAATTTCTGATTGTTATTCTGCATCATGAACACACAAAGATACATGCACACAGAGCATACATATTTGCTAAAGAAAAGTTGGCAGTTGCTACAAATATGGGTGCAACTGGAACTATC